ATTGTTTCAATCCACAAATGCCCACAACAACCAGAGCTAGCTCAGCAACCCAGAACTCAATCCACATGGTTAATGGGGATCCAAATGCTTGACCATCACCTGTGGTCTCCCAGGGTGTGCATTAGCAGGAAGCTGGATAAGAAGTGGAGCAGAGACTGGAATGTGGCACTGTGATGGGGATGAAACAATCCCAAGCAGTAACTTAACTTCTGTACCAAATGCTTGTACAAAACATTTGTTTGGTAAGAGTTGGTATTCAAGACAGGCTATCAAAGATTCACAAACATGTGGATTCTTCTATCCACTTAAGCCAAGTGAACTTCAGATATTTTCACATGACTTCAGAATCCTTCAAACTGTTTTCAAATAAAAAAGTAACGTTTTATTATCTGTCAGCAAGCAGTGGAATGTGATTAGACTAAAGTGACATGAACCATGCAGAAATGTGAAAACACGTTTTTTACTATTTTCCAGGCTTGACCTTTTTGCAAATTTAAATATCAGTGCATGGAAATATAAGCAGTCATCTTATTTAGGAAGTATTACCTGTTCTAGTGTAGAAATAATCTGTCCTATGCTTCTGTATTTTTATTTTTCAGCCTTTTTCATTCTTTCTGGTCGATATGCAAGTATGCTAGGTATTTAATTTTTGAGATTTATATTTTGACCTCAACTTCCCCGATGGCATCTTTTGCTGTGCAGTGAATGTTAAGTATGTTGCCAACACTGCACTCTGGGTTGGGCCCATTTTCTTCTTTGTTCCTGTTTTCCTTTTTGCCTGTTGTAATATCAGAGTTAGGATTGCAACTGCCCTTCAAAATTGTATATTTCCTAAATTGTAGCCAGTTTTTTTAAAACTATTTTTAGACAGTTAAATACTTTTTAAAAAATATTTTTATTTGTTTATTTGAGAGGTAGAGTTACAGACAGTGAGAGGGAGAGAGAGAGAGAATGTGTCTTCCATCCGCTGGTTCACTCCCCAAATGGCTGCAACAGCCGGAGCTGCACCAATGCAAAGTCAGGAGCCAGTAGCTTCTTCCTGGTCTCCCACGTGGGTGCAGGGGCCCAAGCACTTGGGCCATTTTCTACTGCTTTCCCAGGCCACAGCAGAGAGCTGGATTGAAGAGGGGTAGCCGGTACTAGAACCGGAGCCCATATGAGATGCTGGTGCCTCAGGCAGAGAATTAACCTACTGCACCACAGTGCCGGCCTGCCAATTTTATTTTTTAATCCTCATTTTCCATTTACCTCAGTTTCTTATTTTAAATTTTTATTTTAATTAGCTTTTAGGATTCAACATGATATGTAGATACAAATCTAAGAACATAATATTCCCTTCCTGTCTCTGTTTCTCTCCCTCCCACCCTGCTCCCTTCTCTCTCTCTGTTTTTTTTTTTTTTTTTTGAAAATAACATTTTAAATTTACATTACAGTAAAGGGGCTTGATACTTCACCAAATAATAAGTTTAACAAGTAAAAAGCAGAAAGACCCTAGTTTAGTGGGAATATAGACAATGGCTATTAACAATATTTTAATAGGAAAATGACCATTTAACCCATGTACAATAACTTTTAAGGTAATCACAGATCATTAAAACTATAGAAGTATAACATTCTTAATCATTAGTTTGACTAGAGGTATAAAACAAAGTTTTATAAAACTGTATTTGCTGCCATACTGATACACAAAGAAGGTCTGCTATAAACATAATGATACCGATATCTCTCTGATACTTTGTGTTTAAGTCTTTCGGTTACATACCCAGTAGTGGGATTGCTGGATCATGTGGCAAGTCTACTTTTAAAGAAATATTCACATTGTTTTCTTCAGTGGCTGCGCTAATTTACATTCCCACCAACAGTGTATAAATGTTTCCCTTTGTTTGCGTCCTTGCCAGCATTGTTCCTTTCTGTGTTTTGGATTTTAGCCATTCTGTCAGGGGTGAGGTGATATATCATTATAGTTTTGATTTGCATTTCCCTGATGGCTAGTGATGTTGAGCATTTTTCCATATATTTGTTGGTAATTTATTTCTCCTTTTGAGAAGTGTCTATTGAAGTCCTTTTGCCCATTTCTCAAATTAATTGGTAGTTTTTTGTTGTTGAGTTTTTTAAGTTGCTTATACATTTATTATATCAATCCTTTGTCAGATAGGTGGTGGTTTGCAAATATTTTATTGCAGTCTGTTGGATGTCTCTTCACTCTATTGATCATTGCCTTTGCTGTGCAGAAGCTTCTGAATTTGATATAGCCCCATTAGTTTAGTTTTGCTGTGTTATGCTTTGGGGGTCTTATCTAAGAAGTCATCCCCTACACCAATGTCTTGCAGTGTTTCCCCTACATTTTTTTTCAGCAACTTCCTAGTGTCAGGTCTTTAATTTCTATTTGTGATCCATCTTGAGTTGATTTTTGTATATGGTGAGAGGTATGAACCTAATTTCATCCTTCTACATATATACATCCAATTTTTGCCAGCAACATTTGTTGAAAACATTATCCTTACTCCACTGTATGGAATGAGGACTTTCGTTAAAAATCACTTGTGTATATGTAGGTGGATTAATTTTGGGGCTCTCTATTCTGTTCCATTGATCTATATATCAATTTGTATACCAGTATCAAGCTGTTTGGATTATTATAGCTTTACAATATGCTTTGAAGTCAAATATTGTGATGCCTCCAGCTTGATTTTTCTTGTTCAGAATCTCTTTGGCTGTTCTGGGTCTTTTATGATCCCGTATGGATTTTAGGATTGCTTTTTCTACTTCTGTGAAGAATGTCATTGGTATATTGATAGGGGTTGCATGGAATCTATATATTACTTTGGGAAGTATAGACATTTCAATGATATAGATTCTTCTGATCCATGATCAAGGGATATCTTTCCATGATTTTGTGTGTCCTTGATTTCTTTCATCAATGTTTGATTTTGTTTCATAAAATTCAGTAGTAAAACCATCAGGTCCAGGATTTTTCCTTAATAGAACACTTTTGATTATTGCTTCAATATCATTGCTTGTTATGGGTCTGTTTAGGTTGTCTATATCTTCTTGAGTTAATCTTGGTAAATTATATGAATCCAGTAATTTATTCATTTCTTCAAGGTTTTCCAGTTTATTAGTGAATAGTTCTTAATAGTAGTTTCCTATGAACCTGTAGAAAAAAAGACTGAGGACCAGTGTAAAACTCTGCTCCCCAGACATGACTGTGGCTAGCCTCCTATATTTTATTCCGTCTCTCCACTAAACATAGACGTCTTCACAGTAGCATCATGTGACAGGCAGACAAGGTTATGAGAAAAGCAGAGGAAGTAAGAGCATACAAGGTGAATTTTAAAAAGTTCTTGGAAGGCCGGCTCCGCGGCTCACTAGGCTAATCCTCCACCTAGCGGCGCCAGCACACCGGGTTCTAGTCCCGGTCGGGGTGCCGGATTCTGTCCCAGTTGCCCCTCTTCCAGGCCAGCCCTCTGCTATGGCCCGGGAGTGCAGTGGAGGATGGCCCAAGTGCTTGGGCCCTGCACCCCATGGGAGACCAGGAGAAGCACCTGGCTCCCACCTTTGGATCAGAGCGGTGCACTGGCCACAGCAGCCATTGGAGTGTGAACCAACAGCAAAAGGAAGACCTTTCTCTCTGTCTCTCTCTCTCACTGTCCACTCTGCCTGTAAAAATAAAATAAAATAAAATAAAATGTTCTTGGAAATTGTAATTAAGGGCTGGTGCTATGACACAGTGTGTTAACATGCCACCTGCAGTGTCAGCATCTCATGCTTGTTCATGTCTTGGATGCTCCACTTCCAATCCAGTTCCCTGATGATGACTCGGGAAAGCAGAGAAATTGGCCCAAGTACTCAGTCCCCTGTACCCCTGTGGGAGAATTGGGTAAATCTCCTAGCTCCTGGCTTTCCCCTGGCACAGCCCTGGCCATTGTGGCTATTTGGGGGAGTGAATCAGCAGATGGAATATCCTCTCTCTCTCTCTTTCGCTCTGTGTGTGTGTGCTTTCTCTCTCTGTAATTTTGATGTTTCAAATAAAATAAAATGGAATTAAAAGTTGTATATGTGCAAAAATTTTTTAATTCATGCATGGATTTTTTTTCATTATACTTTCCATGAACTTTTTGAAGATCTCTTATATTATCAATGAACAAATTTCAAAAAATGAGAAGAGGGATGGGTGTTGTAGAACAGTATGTTAAACCACTGCCTGGGATACCCACATCCCATATTACAATGCCAGTTCAAATCCCAAACATTCTGCTTCTGATCCAGCTTCCCACTAAATGTACCCCAAAAGTAGTGGATAATGGCTCAAGTATTTTCAGTTCTTGCCACCTACATGGGAGACCAGATGGAGTTCCTAGCTCCTGGCTTTACCATGGCCTTGTGCTGACCATTGTAGCCATTTATGAGATAAACCAATGGATGGAAGATTTTTCTCTCTCTCTCTTCCTCTGTCTCTGTCACTCCACCTTTCAAACTAATAAATAAATAGTTATTAAGTGGAAAGATCTCAGCAAGTTGATTCTTCATGTATTTGATTCTGACTCCTAGTATACAATGCTATTAGGGGATAAGCCAGTACTGCCTAACATCACTGTTTATGGTGTACGTTTGGCACAGGTGCAGCATCCTTGTCTTTTTAATATTATTTGGAGTATCAAACAATAGTAAATGGAACTTTTGTGACATTTAAAAGCAATGACATAAATTATCCTTTATAATTTCTGCTTTCTGTGGCCCAATATTGATTAAATGTACTCATTTCCATATCTCCCAAAGGGAGAACAAATTCTTTCATAGCCACTTCCTGAGAAGTTGAAATTGATTGTATTTCCTTGAAAATATTTTTTTTTAATAAAAATCAACCACTGCTCTCTATCTTCCTTAATGTGAGACAGGAGTATGTTTTCCCACAACACGCTTATTGAAGTTTGTATTCAAACTCCTTTCCATGAATAAAAATAAAACAGAAGGGTCAGCTAAGTTGTTTTCTCTTGCAGTGTGGAGACGATCAATGATGGGAACTTCCACATTGTGGAGCTGCTTGCCCTGGATCAGAGTCTCTCCCTTTCTGTGGATGGCGGGAGCCCCAAAGTCATCACCAACTTGTCAAAGCAGTCCACTCTGAATTTTGACTCCCCACTCTATGTAGGAGGTAAGCTCGCTTTCAAATTCAAAGGGTCTCCAAGCCCTCTGATCCCCATTGTAGAAGAATTCTGAGGTGATTGATACCTGGTGTTATAGCAATCAATCACCAAAAGATGACAGCAAGGAATGTATAGAAGGAGTTTGTAGATGGCTGTGAAGGCACCATGGCTGTGGGTATAACTAATGTCATTGGGGTGGAGAAGGACATTAACCAATATTGCTTTTGTGTCAGTCAGATGCTTGGTATTTTGCATTTTATATCCTTCAATCTTATAGTTTACATGGTCTTTAGAAAAAAAAAATTGCTTAGAGGTCTAATCAGACAATGAAGAAAACAATGAAACAAGGTCAGTGCAAACTGAGAAGTGGATGACCCCATCCTGCTTTCTGAAGGCGGCCAGCACAATCTCCTCTGTCAGATGGCACCATACAGGCATTTCAGTTGCTAATTCATGTGCATGTAGAACAATCATCAATAAAATTCAGTGAATGCATGAACAAGTTAAATGTACAAATTTTATTGGAGTGATAGGAAGTAGTTCTCTTTAGCTAGAACCTTAAAATAAAAGAAAAGAGAGTTGGAAAGACAGGTATGACTTGAAATGACAGAGTAAAGCCTCCAGGGTAAGGCAGATGAGGAACAGAGCCATGTTACAAAGTTCTCATGGGACCCGAAGGAGAGGGCTCTCCAAATGAGAGAGCTGTGCCACGATGCTGGTCCCTGTGATTATCAAAATCATAACACATTGATAGAATTTGATTGTTTAGAAACAATTCAATGACTTTGGTTCAATTCTGTAAATATTTATTGATTGCTTAAGGTATTATGGGAACTAACTTCACAGATACATAAAAGAACCAGAGTTAAAAATGAAATGTCTCTTTTGCTCCCAAGGAAATGAGAAATGTAGACCCATCTTCAGTAACTATAATGCATTCTAATTAGAGTATTGCACATTGGTTCTACAGAGCCAGCGACCTAATTGCTTCATGGGAATGATATTTTTGAGACTCAGTAAAAAAAAAAAAAAAAAGATTTTCATTATTTTAATGATGTATTTGAAAGAGTTACAGAAGGAAGTTGAGACACAGAGAGGTCTTCCGTCTGCTGAGTCACTCCCCAAATGGCCACAATGGCCAGTGCTGAGCTGATCTGAAGTTAGGATCCAGGAGCTTCTTCTGGGTCTCCCACATGGGTACAGGGGCCCAAGGACTTGGGCCATCCTCCATTGCTCTACCAGGTGCATTACAGCAGGGAGCTGTATTGGAAGTGGAACAGCAGGGACCTGAACTGGTACCTATATGGGATGCTGGCACTGCAGGCTGGGCCTTTAACCCACTTAGCCACAGTGCTGGCCCCAAGATTTCAAATCTTGTAACACTCCAGTTGACAGAGTTTCTTGGGAATATATGCATTAGGTTGCAGATGTACCTATGACTTCAGAGAAAAAAGATCTTTATTGAGTACATGTTATGTGCCCAACACACTGCTTCTTTTACAGTCTTAGTCATCAGAGACGTTGAGAAGTAAATATTTTCTGTTTTTCAGTCCTTGAAGCACAGCCTCAATACTTTATATGACTTGCCCAAGGTCAGAAGGCCACTACATGGTAGATGCCTCACTTAAGTTCAGATCTTTCTGACTGCAAAGTGACCCACATTGCCGATCTTTTCTTAACATAAATCTGAAAGGAAAACAATCTCAGTTTTGTGACTTTCTGCTGGCTATTGCTAGATGTATTCTTCATTTAATTTGCATGCTTTTGATAGAAACCATTTTGTTAAATCTCCTAAAACCCCGTTAGAATGTAGTGCAAAAAAAAGTTAATACAAAATGAAATTGTTTAGATCAAAACATTTTTCAAGAAAGGAAAAAGAAAGGTTTAAATTCTAAAAAGAAAAGTACTAATCCTCCTGAGGGTGGGAGGCGTGGAAGAGTCCAGACAGCTCCCCTGCCCTCTCAGACCTGAAGGAAGCCATGTCAGTCCCATTCCCACTGCCAGAGAACACTCTTACCCTCATCCTCCCAGCTCAGAACATGATCTCAGGGGTGAGTAAGATTGAAAATGCAAGGAATGCTTATGACTCTACCTTGAATGCTGTGTGGCAGAGGCATGAGAAGCGGAGTTGGCAAAGGGAAGCAAGATAAACAAGCACTGCTTAGCAACAGCCACACTCCCGGGGAGGGCTGCCTACAGCTGATGCCCCTCTGCCTCAGCCTCTCTGGCAAAGTGGACAAGCAGCTTACCTTACTCTCAGCTTATCAGCTACCCTTGATACAGGCTTTACTTGCCACAAAAACATGAATCTTGATGATTTTCTGTATAACCGTCCAATTAGAACAAGGATTGCCTATGGGGCAAAAGAAGAGTAGGAGGACAAACACCTAGAGATCCATCCATGCATGTATCACAGATGCCCTCCTAGTGCCACCATCGGAAAAAGGACCTCAACTTCGATACTTGGTTCCTTGATAGTAATGTTCAAACACAAAGAGCTTCCTCAGGCTAAAAAACATCTCCCAAGTGATCTGTTAGTTGACTAAACTACAGCTAAGGTCCCTGGCATAGAAGGAAGCCTATTATATATACATCTGCTTCTGACTATCAGTTAGAACCTAGTTTCTAATCCAACATGAAAAATGAATTCTGCATAGTTGTTGATTTTATGATATCCCATTGAAAGTCAAGTACATGTAGGATATATGAATATTTTCATTTACAGATTACTATAATCAATGCTAAACCTTCCATAATTGTTAGCTTTGGAACCAAAAGAAGCATATTTACCAATCATTTCTCCCTGCTGTGGAATTTTGCCAATCTGTATTGAGTCTTGACATGCACACTTATGGGCATTGTACCATCACAATGAAGTACAAAAAAATGGGTTTGTAAGACATTCATTTTTACCTTCTGAATAAAGGACCATCAATCTCTGGATGTCAAATCCCATGTGTTTATGAAGGATGGATGTGATTAACTTAGGAGGAATTACCCCAGAGCAAGGAATTTCCTGTCTATAGTCCTCTCCTGAAAATGGCCAGTTTCTTCCTGTTGACCCTGCTCTACAAAAGCCAGCCGGTTTCCAAGCCAGGCAGACATAGACTAAAGGCCTTCACTCACGAAACATACAAGCTGTGACATTCACTTTAGTGCCCGTCCAAGTGTGACCATGGGCCATCTTTATCAGAATTACTGAACTGTATTTTGACATGGAACTTTCAGCACTGAGCTTTCCCTACAGCACCAGAATCTCAGAACTTGACAGTGCACCTCTGGTGGTTCTTATGTGTGACCAACATGGAAGCAGCTGCTCCAGTCCACCTGCTGTAGATGAGAAAACTAAGCCTCAGAGTGGGGAAATGCCTGGCCAAGTGCACACAGAACCAAATAGAAAGACTTGACTTCTATATAGTGAATACCCTGCAGCTTGACCTTGGTGCCTGCAAGGACTCAACTGGGGATCTTATGATTGGGAAAAGGGACAATCACAAGACAAGGTGCTGTGGTCCTTGATCTTTATTACCACCAAGTCATCTGGAGAATCAGAGCCCAGATCATGCCAATCTGGAACCTCCAGCCAGTAGCTCAGAGTCCAGGTACAGCTGGGTCCAGGCATAGCTGGGGCATGAGCAGCATGCGAGCAGTCAGCTGCCCTGAATGCCTACAGCTCCCTCCCTACCCCACCGCGACCTGGACAGATGCCTCATGTAGGATGCTGTCCAGGAGCTATTTTAGGGTCTGGCTTAGGCAATGGAAAGATTCCTCACTTTTGCCAAAATGAGGGTTACCAGATGATGTTCAGCAGTGGCATGTCTGTATACAAAAATTGCAAATACTCTGTGAAGGGATTTCTTCCATATTCTCGAATTCTTAAAATATGAAGGCCTCACTCTCAATTAGTGAGAAAAATATGAGGCCAATGAGGTGCTATCCTGATAAGAAGCAAGACAAACTTTCAGATACTGACACCCAGCTGAGCCAAGTTGCCTGTGGTAACCTGGATTAGCTGCTGACTTGGAATTTGGCAGGTTCCAGGGTAAACGGTGACTGTGAATCAAAGCTCTCACTCTCTGAAGCTTGGTGGACTGAACTCTAACTCGAGGACTGAGGGCGTCCTCATCAGCCCAGCACTGCCCTGAGCATGCTGTGTGACATTGAGCACAGGGCCTAGCTCTCTGGACCCTGGCTGCAGCATTACAAACTGTGCTGTGTGGAGCTGTAGGCTTCTGGCCTTGTGTCTGGAGGGGGCACTTAGAGAGCAGAAAGGACTAATCCCTCTTACCAGTCTTACCTTTTTTTTCTTTTTTTTTTTTTTAGTTTATTTTTTATTTTTGACAGGCAGAGTGGACAGTGAGAGAGAGAGAGAGACAGAGAGAAAGGTCTTCCTCTTGCCATTGGTTCACCCTCCAATGGCTGCCGCGGCTGGCACGCTGCGGCCGGCGCACCGCGCTGATCCGAAGCCAGGAGCCAGGTGCTTATCCTGGTTTCCCATGTGGGTGCAGGGCCCAAGGACTTGGGCCATCCTCCACTGCACTCCTGGGCCACAGCAGAGAGCTGGCCTGGAAGAGGGACAACCGGGACAGAATCCGGCGCCCCGACCGGGACTAGAACCCGGTGTGCCGGCGCCACAAGGTGGAGGATTAGCCTATTGAGCCACGGCGCTGGCCCCCAGTCTTACCTTTAAGTGTAGGACTTCTGCTTCTAGGTTTTATGCATGTATGTGTCTGGGTAGAGTTTGGTTTACAACTTAAGGATTGACCTCCAGTGACCAGGTTCTTCATTTGGCTTGTGCGTTAGAATTTCCTGTTCCCGAATACACCTCCATTCCCTAGCCTGCCCACATATCTGTCTGTCTAGGGTGAGGTCTACAGTGTTGGCATTTTTGGATGACAAGTGGCTAAGGGGCCTCCAAAGAGCCTGACCTTCAGTGTGGTGTCCCTCTGCAGGCATGCCCGGGAAGAATAATGTGGCATCACTGCGCCAGGCCCCTGGACAGAATGGCACCAGCTTCCATGGCTGCATCCGGAACCTATACATCAACAGTGAGCTGCAAGACTTCCGGAAGGTGCCCATGCAAACAGGCATCCTGCCTGGCTGTGAGCCATGCCACAAGAAGGTGTGTGCCCATGGCACGTGCAGGCCCAGCAGTCAGTCAGGCTTCTCCTGCGAGTGTGAGGAAGGATGGACGGGGCCCCTCTGTGACCAGCGGACCAATGACCCTTGTGTTGGAAATAAGTAAGTTGAGCTCTTTGGGTAGTTGAATTCACATGTTCCATGTTCAAAGACAAGTCCAAGAAAGGAAAGAAGGAGAGAGGGAGGGAAAGAAGGCTGCCCTTTTCACACTGTGCCTCCTACTTATCCCAGCCTCCTCCATTCTTAATCTCCTTTGCCAAACGCATTTCCATTCCTATGTTCCTCCTCCCCCACAGATGTGTACACGGCACCTGCTTGCCCATCAATGCATTTTCCTACAGCTGTAAGTGCCTGGAGGGTCATGGAGGAGTCCTGTGTGATGAGGAGGAAGATTTGTTCAACCCCTGCCAGGCAATCAAGTGCAAGCACGGCAAGTGCAGGCTCTCTGGACTCGGGCAGCCCTACTGTGAGTGCAGCAGTGGCTACGTCGGTGACAGCTGTGATCGAGGTAAGCCAGCCCAGTGCCGCCTCCTGCTCCTAGCAAAGCCGCGTGTTGGCAAAGTGAGAAGGGGTGAGGGAAGCAAACCCGAGAAAGAAAGGGAGAGACAGAAGAGAGACGCAGAGACAGGGACAAAGAAGAGAGAGATGTGATCTGAAAGAACCCCAGGTCTTTGAATTACTTGCAGTGGCTGCTGTTGGTTTATTTTCAAGGGTTATGAAGGCACCAGATGTGAAGTGTGCTAAACTCCCACCGTGAGATGTTACACAGCGTTCAGTCGTCTTCTCACAACTTGGTTTGCTGTGAAAATTCTCCTCTTTTGCCTTACATAGAAGCACATTTACTTTACTCACCTCTTAGGTTTGCTTGTTGTTCTCTCTGTGTATGTTACTAATTCGTCTTCGGGCATTGCAAAGATGGAGCTAAAGATTCTGCTCCGTCTCAGTACAAGCTCACCTTTGATCTTAGACCCTCTGATTTATCACAACTCACTATGCAGGTGAGGGGGTGGGAGTAGCCTGACCTGCAGCCCACCTCCTCCCCCTTGCTTTGTCTGCATTATCACAAGCTGCCTTGCCTCCAGCTGGCATGGATTTGATTTTGTGTATCAGAGGAGGAAACAAGAAGAACGTGCCCATGGAAGCTTTTAGCAGATGTCTCTTTTTTGAACTACTTCATCCTAGGGTAATTTATGAAGCTAGTGGAATGTTACTTGTATTAAGTAACAGATTGGATAATATTAAACTCCAGGTCTAATAAATTAAATTGCATACTCTCTGAAACTGCTCCCTCTGGTAAACAAAACCAGCTGTTAGTAGTGTAAAAACAGAAGATGTGTATGGTTTTTTTTTTCCTTTTTTGCAATAAAGGAAAGGATTTAGGAATCCAATTTTCTTGTCAGTGCAACAGCGTTGTATTTATAGTCTGCATATATAGCATTCACTTTCCCGAAAATCAAAATCAAAAAAAAAAAAAAAAGGCATTTTTCAAAGAAGAGGCCATGCCACCGGGCAATAGTGTGTAATAGACACATAACACTACAGATAGTTCTTGCGAAGGGGAAGCCGCGAGTGCCTGGTGCATTAGGTGTGGAGCCACAGTCTCCCTGCGTGATTTTGGTGACTGTCGTTCACCTGCTGGTGCTTCTTGTTCTGTTCTAGAAATCTCCTGTCGAGGGGAGCGAATAAGAGATTACTACCAGAAGCAGCAGGGCTATGCCGCCTGCCAGACAACCAAGAAAGTCTCCCGTTTGGAATGCAAAGGCGGCTGCGCTGGAGGCCAGTGCTGCGCACCGCTGCGGAGCAAGCGGCGGAAATACTCTTTCGAATGCACAGATGGGTCCTCGTTTGTGGACGAGGTTGAGAAGGTGGTGAAATGCGGCTGCACGAGGTGTGCATCCTAAACACACGCCCGGCAGCTTCCATCTTTGGGAAAGGTTGTTCGCTTCTTGACCGTGTTGGACTCATTCATGCCTCATAGTGGAAATATTTGAAATATATTGTAAGATACAGAACGGACTTATTTTTATTATGAGAATAAAGATTTTTTTCTGCCTTTGGAAAAAACACTAAAAGACACGCTTGAACTAAAGCTTCTTCCCCTTGTGCTGGAGAAGTGTGAAGAAAGCTATCGCCGGCGGCTTTCGAACAGTGGTGGGATGCATGGCCCCCCGGACCCTGCTTGTCGCTCACGCAAGACTCGCAGAAGCACAGGCACAAGGCACAGGACAGCGACTGTGCGCTGATGCAGAATTGCCCAGAGCATAAAACACGCGTCCCCTGCTCACATCAAGGCAGTTTCCCAGGCACGGGTGTGTGCACGGTGATGTCGGGCAGAGGGATGGAACTCCAGAATTCATAGATAGAGTAAAAGGATGAGAAATATTTTGTGCAAAATACAAACTGTTCTGAAGATCTAGTTTCCTTTCATGAAAGGAAATGGGAGTGGAGGGCTAGAATACAGTTTATTTTCTTTTCAGACGTCAGCATGTCTTCAGAAACAGCACACAAAAGTGTTTATCTACCATTTTCCAGTATTAATTTTTGTAATATAAATGATAAAGGAGATGATAAAGAACCAATAGATTATTGATAAATAAATTAGTAATAATATGAATTTTTTCTATGAGTTCTAAACAACCCTATACAGTATTCAGTTTCAATGAGGAATATTTATTGTATCAAAGTACATTGTACTTAACGTTTTAGGCCATTCTTTTTCTGTTTCTTGATGCTTTAATATATATTAATTTATAATTGTCCTGATATTTTTGTACATTTTTCAAACTGAAAAATCAGGATTTTGTTTGTTTTTTGGCAGAAGTACTAACATAGTGTGTTATCTGGGGGTAACTGTGTATTGGTCTGTGTGTTTACCTTGACATCTGACCACTGGCATCACTGACCTACTTGCCTCATGCGGGACACCTGCAGAGAACAGGCCCATCTGAGAGGGGAGGAGGCAGATCTGCAGGTCAGGGAGTCATTGTACAGAAAGAAGTGGCCCTCCTGCAACAGGTCCTCATGGAAAAGAAGTGCTGTGTAGCAATCGGCACTAGAAAGTAGACCCTTGACAAATTAACATTCCCTAGATCTCTTGTGCCCTTTTATTGGAGGGGTGGGGAAAACAAAAAGACTGTCATGTCCAGAAATGTATTTTTTTTCCAAACAATAAAATTCCTTTATTACCTTAATGTTCCCATGATAACATGTTTGCTGCTAAATTACAGTGTAGAATTGATCATGATTTATAGTGAATTGTGCTCTTCCTTCATTAAAATCCCAGGGTGCCCTGTAAAGATACAGATGTTTCTTCCCAAAAATGTTTTTTACAAAGAAAATTAGATGTACATGTATGATTTGGTGTGCTTTGTCTTTCTCCAGACTAATATCAGTTACACTACTGATGTTTGTAAATTAAACAGATATTTACTTCATTAACAGCTTGGTGGTTTTCTTAGCAATTGCACAATATTTTAGGGGTCACCTCCTTAAGAATATATTCATCAAAGTGGTAAGGAACGGACAAAGAAAAGAACCTATGCCTATTTGTTAGCAGAATTGGTTTGAGACTGGCAAGTTGTAACATCTAGAGACTGGAATGGCCACAGCAGAGAGGTAGAAGAAGATACTGTTGGTTAAGGGAGGAAAGTGTATATTCAGTTAATTTTCCCATCTTTCTCATGCAAAAAGTTGTAGGGAAAAATCTAAGGTGAACTGTTTCTGTTCTTTATTTTTCTTTCCCTCAATTAGAACCAGATCATCCTGACCTGGAAGACATCCAGAAAAGGGAGACAACAGCTCTGGGTAGAATATTAATTCTCATTCCCCATGATAAGATTTCTCCATTTCTTTGTAAGAAAACCATATGCATCTACACACACACAGATATACACACTGACTTTCACAGTCATGGACACCCAATCATCTATCATTGTTGAAAAATTCTTCATGTCAATTATATAAATATTATATAGCCATTGTAAACTATTTATTAATTCCCACTGGTGTCTTCTTTTTTATTCAAGTATTTTGAATTATTCATTAACCAAAGATGATGCAGTTCATAGTTTCTGGGTTTGTTTTTTTTTTAAGATTTATTTATTTACTTGAAAGGCAGAGTGATAGAGAGATAGAGATAGAGAAAATGAGTCAGAGACAGAAATCTTCCATCCACTGGTTCACTCCCCAAATGCCTGCAACAGCCTGTTCTGGGCCAGGAAGAAGCAGGATATAGGAATTCCATGCAGGTTTCCCATGTGGGTGGCAGGGGCCCTAGTACTTGAACCATCTTCCACTGTATTCTCAGGCACATTAGCAGGAAGCTGGGTTGGAAGCAGAGTAGCTAAGACTGGAACCAGCACTCTGATAGGAGATTCTGGCATCACAATTCACAGCTTAACCCACTGTGTCAGTGTGTCACAGTGCTATCTCAGAGATCAGTATGTGTCGAGTGCTTACTGGATGCAAGATCTGTGCTAAGGACTTCGCATGTAGTTATCTCATTCATCTCTGAATTTATGGCATTTTCATGCTCCCATTGTATGCTGGTTTATAGGGCTTGAAAACAGAAGTATTTGATTCCACCAAACCTTTCAGACCAATAGTCCATGTTCTAGTAGTGAAGGCAACAGTTCAGTAACCACAGCCTCCTTTAGGGGATGTTTAGGCCTTGAAGCCTTATTTCATAGCACAATAATTCTCCATTGATCATGTAGATTCATGTAATCTAGGGACTTTACTTTGCTGTTGTCATTTTAAGAGGGGGAAAAAGTGAAGCCTGAGTAGTTTCTATTCTGTGTTCTTTCTCTTTCCTGCTTATAAGGGCATAAAATAAAATTAGGGTTGCCAGCGATTTGGACTGAGTTAACAAGTTTCTTAGGAGGCTGTTTGCCTGTGATAGCATTAGCTTCAACACCTAAGCCCTTTTCTTTCTGAAATTCATTCATTCATTCATTTTGGAAAGGCAGAGAGAGCTATTCCATCCACGGGTTCACTCACCAGATGCCTGCAACAGCCAATCTGGATCTTCCACATGAGTGGCAGGAACCCAAGATCTTAAGCCAACGTCTGCTGCCTTCCAGAGTGCACATCAGCAAGAATCTGGAATCAGAAGCAGAGCTGGGGCTCAAATTCAAGGACTGTGATATGGCATGTGAGCGTCCCAAACTGTGACTTAACTACTGTGCCGCAATACCCACTCTGTACGCGCTTTGAGAAAATCCAATAACCAAATAATTACTAGCAAATGAGACCAATTAAGGGGAGTTACTCATGTTACTAAAGGCTCCTTCCTTATGAGGCCTTGACCACAGGATTTCCTTAAATAGGAAACTCTTCTAAAACATTTCCAACACAATTCAATATTAACAGACCCCACTTTGCACATTTCAGAAGTAAAATGACTACATAGAGTAATGTCTATTGTCATCTGAAAAGATAAAGTGAGTAAACATGCCTAATGTGTTTACTTTTAAATTCTCACATGAATGAGGCGCCATCAGGAAATGCCATGGGGATTTGACTTGTGTTCAATTTAAGATGCAATCACTAAATAATAACCATTTCAATCTTCGGAATTTGTTTTCACCACGGATTTCCTGAAATTAGTTCTTAGAAATAGGCTAACCATGATTGTAGAATTGCTCTGAGCGTTTTCTTTCTTGGATGATTTGCTTCGTCAGCAGCAATTCTTTCTGGAGCAATGATTAAAAGACTGTTGAAATCGAATCAGGACTTAAAGATCCGGAGCTTTATGGTGTCATCTGGCTCATGGGGTGACCATTATTTCAAAAGTAATGTTTGTAAAAATATATAAGCTATAATGTGTACAAAGCTTTATATAAAGTTTTATCTAAGGTATATAAACCTATATAAAATACATAAGCTATTTTAATTCTTAATCAGAGCTCTCAATGTACTCCGAAGCCATTTAACAACACATTTTTATTTCTATGTCCTATCATATGCAAGAGACTATGCTAAACAGTTGAAATATAGTTTCAGATAAAATAGACTCCACTTTTGCTATGTTAGAGCTTAAACTCTCTGCAGTTGGAGTTGTGGTTAAAACAAGTAATAGCCATTATACAAATGGTCAAACTAATATATAAAGTCAGATTGTCATAAATACCTTAAAAGAAGCCGGCGCCGTGGCTCAATAGGCTAATCCTCCACCTTGCGGCGCCGGCACACCGGGTTCTAGTCCCGGTTGGGGCGCCGGATTCTGTCCCGGTTGCCCCTCTTCCAGGCCAGCTCTCTGCTATGGCCAGGGAGTGCAGTGGAGGATGGCCCAGGTGCTTGGGCCCTGCACCCCATGGGAGACCAGGAAAAGCACCTGGCTCCTGGCTCCTGCCAGGATCAGCGCGGTGCGCCGGCTGCAGCGGCGGCCATTGGAGGGTGAACCAACGGCAAAAGGAAGACCTTTCTCTCTCTGTCTCTCTCTCTCACTGTCCACTCTGCCTGTCAAAAATAGAAAGCAAAAAAAAAAAAAAAAGAATTACCTTAAAAGAAATCATCAGCTACAAGAAAAAAATGTATCGGATGGATCCAGTGAAATACATGCTGGGATGTTAGGGAACGCCTCTCTGTGCAAAAGCGATGTTTAAGCTGGTCGTGAAGGGTTAGCTGAGATAGAGGGTGGAAGCAGATGGAAGCATGTGGTAGGATGGGAGGTGAGGGTTCATGTGGAGTGAGCCGCTCATGTACAGACCTGAGAAGAAGGGAAAGTCCTTATGTGGTCAAGGGAACAAAAGAAGTGGCCACAGTGAAGCATACATTGAAATTTACGATTTCACTTATTTGAAAAGCAGAGAGAGAAGCTCCTATCCACTGATTCACTTCCCAAATGCCGACAGCAGCTGGGTCTGGGCCAGACCAAAACCAGGTCTCCCAAGTGAATTGCAGAGACCAAAGTACTTGAGGTGTCTGCCTCTGCTTCCCAGAATGTGCATTCGCAGGAAACGGACATCAGTAATAGAGCCAGGATTCAGACCCAAGTTTTCTCATATGAGATGGGGACATCTCAAGTGGCCTCTTAGCCACTACACCAGACACTTCGCCCATTCATTTACCATATGTGTACAGTACAACAGTGAGCACCTTCCTGCTTTCCAAACTCTTTCATTTACTTCCTGTTTTTCTCTTGAATGTCATTTTGCAATGAACTTTCAAAATGACAACAAAAGGGGAATTCTCGTTTAAAGTAGCAACTAAAAAAAATTGTTAGCTGAGCTTCATGTAGTTCATTTTAAGTTCTAAATCAAACAGCTCTGAAGACAGAAAACAGAAACACTCATAATAGCACCAAAAATTAAGAATATTTCCAGAATTTGAAAGGAATTTTCATGAACTCAAAGACTGATGAAGCTGGATTGAAAGAAGCAATTGTCGGCCAATCCATTCTTTGAAACTCTTGTTCTTTCCTTCCTCTGTGTTTGCACCAAAGCCGGAGACTCAGGAAATGAGTTAAAGGGCAACCCAGAAGAAAGTATCTTTGCACTAAAAGTGTTAGAAATCTGGGCCTTAGTGACACATGGTGACTGCATGCGGATGGAAGGCTTGGGAGCACCTTGGAACATCATGGTTGCTGACCTGCAAGCTCCAGTCCTCTGCCCTCCAGTGTGTCCTGCACTCTGTTAAATGAAACAATGTATTCCTCTAAATCATGTCGAAAGTCCTCACAAAGGGGCCTTCTAAAATCACCCTTTAGTGTACGCTTTCAGATTGACAAATGCTAAGGAAGACTATTAAAAAAAAAAAAACTGTGGCTGGAATGTTTAAATGGTAGACATAAGATTCATCCACATAGAGGTGGTAGTTGAAGCCAAAAATTTTTTAAAAATTAAACTAATTTAGAAACAAAACACAAGGAATCTGACCCACAAACTAAGATCCAGCTTTAGATCTTTAGATATAGAGCTGGCATTTCCAGAATGGAGCAAGAAACGGGCAGTTTTAACTCAGTGTCGAGGTGATTGCCCTCCTGATAGTAAAGGAAGAAGAGAGTCAGGATGGCAACTGGAAAAACGTGACATCACAGGCTGTCCTTCAGGAAGTTATTGGTCTTGATTTATCACCTCATTGAGAGTCACACTTTGTGAAGGTGTGGAACAAACACTTGAGGTCTATTCTGAAGAGAAAACAGGTCCACGTTGGAAAAGCATGATCGACCTAGATCATCAATTACTTGGGTTAGTTGATCAGTGGAAGCAAAAGTGGAATCCAGATGTGGTGGTCTTGAAGAAATGGCACACCTGAGAACATGATGTCACAAAATCGCCCAGAGTGGAGACAGGAACATATGTGCAAGAATTCTTTTCGAAAAGGACTTCTCTTGATCTGTTCATTCTCCCACAGAGGGAATGTAGAGAATATGTACAAGAGCTAATTTCATCCAGAGATATAAAATTCAGCTGAAGGGAGAGATGGCCATCCTGCAT